GTATAGCAAGAAAAGAGGTTATGAGGTAGGAATCGGTTTCTCATCATCAAGTTGAGCTTCATTTATAGAGATTGCTGTTTCTTCAATCTAGTTCGACGACTCCAGTGGAGAACAACTACTATTTCATGGATGTAGAAAGCGGAACCACGTCCACTGCAAATCTTGACTCTACTGATGGTGTCTGACTCATTAAATTTTTTTACTGCTCGTTAATAGTTATGAACCTGATCCTAATATGTTGTGTTCTCTGATAAAACTGTTTGGTTGTTTGGTGTTCTTTGATAAAACTGTTTGGCAAATCGAGAATTAAAAATTGAAGTGAAGAATTGGAAATGAAAGATCGAGGAAAAAATTGGAATGTAAATAAATTGAAGGAGCTCCCAGTTGGTGTGCTCTCAAAATTTTGCGTTCTGTTTTTTTTTACAAACAACAAGCCGATTCATCACCACACTTGAGAAATCATGGCTAATAGTCAGTCCGAAAAAAAAAATATGTCTTCATCGAATTCAGTTTAGAAATGTACATGATATGAGGTAACAAAATCGAACGATACATTTAAAAAGTATAACAAAGAATCAAACAAGGATGGTCTCATGCATTAGAGCAAGAAGGCTGTAATTATTTCATAACAATCACATTCTACCCCGTCCTTCATAGGAGACTTGTAGATGATTGCTTTTCCGGATCCGTCCTGTGTACAACTCAAACAAATTGAAAGCTGACGGATTTGTCCAGAGGTTGTTGGTACGTTGAACACAACTCTGAAATATTGCATGAAATAAGTCTATTTTTCGGAAAATGAAAATTCAAAACGCACCGAAACTGTTGCTTAGTCGGTGAAACTTGGAAGAACTGATGAACAGAGAAGTTGACAGGGTTCATATGGGTTCGAAGATAACCTACCAAAAGCAGCTCATTTGGAATCATTCTAATTCGATCTTCCGGGTGTTTGGCATAATGCTGAAAAATTAAATAAAATAAATTGATTTGCTGGAAGAATCTTACCTCTTTAGCTTCCTGAACCATGGCAATCTTTTGTTGTTCTGTTAATCTTCTTCTTTGTGTCCCTTTAGCCAAATTCTTCAAATCGTTCTCCAGAAATTGACGAATGTGTAGTGGAAAAAGTGTCACATCAAGAAGTGGAAGAAGATCAAGCATGTCTTGAGGGTGAGACAGAAGAATATGTAGAGCTCCCATGGTTTCTGATTGATGACGCAGCAACACCTATTTATTACTTCTTAGTTTTGATATTGGAACACTGTTTCACCTGAAATCCTTTCAAAGGATTCTTCTCATCAAACTGTTCTGCAACATCTGTTCCATACAGTACTGAAACCACTTGTTCTGTTTTGAAATTTTGGTTCTCGCTTTCATTGAGCATCACTTTGGTGAAGATCTTTTGTGTTTGAACCACTTGAACTCCTTGTCCTTTCAATATTCTTTGAACTTTCGCTTCAATTACAGATAAATCGTAATTTTCAGATTTATCGAACAACTCTGAAAACAGAAATAACGTAAAGCTGACATCGTTAGAACAATCTTACTATAGGCAGTGATAACTTTGTAGAGCTCCTGATAAAAGGAGATGCTGGCATTTGCAGTTGGAAGCTGAGAAACAGATGCTGACTGAGTTGTATTCGTTTGAGTTGTTGTTCCAGAAGTAGTGTGAGTTGTAGTTGACGTCGATTGTTGAGAATCTGAAGTATCATGATTTATCAGCGCATTGAAACCATAGCATACTGCTTTTGAACTTTTTCTCTTCCCTATCATCTTCTCGTACTCCTGGTGGGTATACATTCGGTCCTTTTGTCACTTTTGGATCAAACGCTGGAGGTGGTCCACGGCCTCCAGTTTCGATCATTGTGGCTTTTTTATCCAGGGCCATTGCAACATCATATTGTTTCATCAATTGACCGTCGGTAGTTCCCGGCGTTTCTCGCATTTCTTCTGCTATTGCCATGGCCTGAAAGGAATTTGTTTGAATGGAACCTTTGGTAGATTAAGTACTCGATCTGCGTAAACACGAACTTCGGCTGCCTTAGCAGCAGCTTGTGGATCGACTGGAGCCGTTTTTGCTGCGACCGCTGGAAAAAGATTCACGACAGAATATAAATTCAAAAGATAGTCTAACCATTCTCCAAAGCCCCCGCTATCTTTCCACCTTGATATCCGGCAAGACCATCAAAGACTGGAGTCGCTATGGCATCGAAAATAGCTCCACCAGATGGGTTGTCAATTACTTCCTGTACGCTAGCAAAGATACCTTCTGGTCTAAACAATCAATTTGTTTACAAGGAATAGTTCGAATAACCCACTTATACTCTTTTTCTCTTAAAGATGCTCCCAATGTGGCAGCCCCATCCAAAGTTCCACCAGTAGCCATTCCACCTACAACTGCGCCAACAGGTCCTCCAACAAGGAATCCTGAATTATATTGTTAATTTCGCTGGGTACCTCAGAACTGTACCTGCGGCTCCTCCAGCCATAACTCCTGTGGTTCTAGTCGCTGCCAGAATTGCTTTATTACCACCTTCATGATCTCCAGCTATATGATGAATGGCTCCTTTGACATGACCAACTCCAGGGACTCCATCAGCGAAATTCGATACATTTTTCACACATCTGATTTGAGTGTCTCCAGCTTTTTCTGGTTCTCCGGCTGCCAAATAAACCAGTGATGTAACCTAAATCTATGTTTCAATGGCTACAGTATACATCTCCTACCTGCGAAACTCCAACACATTCATGAAGAAACTTTTCTTGAGTTGCAGCAGCTCCATCCACATCGCCGGTTACTAGCTGGACCACTGACTTTGCTTGTGACACCACAGGAATCGTATTGACGTTACCCATTCTTACATCTGGTTTAAATTCGAATGTGAAAAATCTTTTATACAAAATTTAACATGAGCAAGAGTATTAAAGTACACAACAACAGTGAGAAATTTTTCTGTGAGAGGCATCTGAAGAAATGTTAAGCAACACTGAAGTCAAAACTTACGAAACAACAACTGTAATATTTCGAAACGAGGTGATTGAGAACAGTGAAAATAAAAACTAAATTTGAAAAAGCAAAGCACGCAAAAACTAGCAGACATTGGAGCGAGGTTTCTTTACATACCTCAATCGCAGGAGACCCCGCAAATTCCGAGGAAAAAAAAATCGGGGAAGAAAAACCGGGGAAAGTGGGCGGAGTCGAGAAAAACCGTGCGGCAAAACCGTGCCAGGGTTGCAATTTAGGCTCCGCCC